ACTTTTAAAGTTACTGTAACATGCAAAAGAGAAAATCCTCTCTGTATCAACACATAGGCATATTCCTGCAGAGTATATTCCCCACACGCTGGTTTAGCAGCTCAGTGTTGGTACCTGCACTTTTGCAATTCTGAATTGCGGGAAGAATCGCTGTGATTCTGCCCGCAAATCCCAAATCGTACCACAATTGTGGCAAAAGGCACCATGCTCATTTGGGTGCCATTCATTCCTAATGTCACCCCCAAAAGTGGTGCGTTTCTGCCATTATTGTTGCGGGAAAGAATTGCATTGCAATCATGGTATTTGCACTGTCTGAAGCTGTCACCAAAAAAAAAGAAGCTCCTGCTGCTTTTTTGGTGACAGCTTTGCACAATGTCTTTTGCGCAACAATTGTCTTTTGCGCACAGTTAAGAACGAATGGCACCCAAACAAGCATGTTGCATTTCGTCACAACTGCAGAGTAATTTGAAATTGCAATGAAAGATCGCCAAGTGTGAATGCAGCCTTACCATGTTTCACTGTACTATGTATGGGAGGTTCGCCCCACCTGCATGTGGAAATACCAATACACGCTGGACACCTTAAATTGTAGATTTAAATAAAGAATTTTAAAAATTATTAAAGTGTATATATTTTAGTGATTGGGTTTACAAATGCTTTAATATCAGGGAGCATTAAAGCATTTGTAAATGAGGACATACATGTCACATGCATGTATAAAATGGTTTTTTTTTTTTTAAATTTACGAAAAAATATGAAAATGCTGATTCCTCCTTTTCCTTGACAGATACCTCAGTTTGCCTCACTGAAAATTCATGTATGTGATTACGATACGTCACCTGAACAATCATTGTTTGTCCAAGCGGCAGGACCACCCAACGGTTACAATTACAGCCGATTCAGAAAAATTTGTCAAAATTCTAACAGTATATTGCCAGTTTACTTTGCCTGGTAAGAGTAAACTGATTGTAAACCCATTTTTTAAAAATAAAAACAGGTTTATACTTACCTGCTATGTGCAATGGCTACTGGCTCCTCCTCTTCTTTGTGTGCCCCCATAGCAAGCTGCTTGCTGAGCCACACTGCCTGCCTCCATAGGCACACACCGTGCAGCTTGCACCTGACCCCCACCCCTTTGTCACAGGATTCAACTGATAACATTGGAAGCCAATGGCTCCCGCTGCCTCAGCAAAGCCAGTGAAAAAGTGAGAGGAGAGAGCCGCTGGAGTCGGGCACAGCACTGAATCGAGTGAGGACTCAGGTATATATAAAAGGGAGATGAAGGGACATACTAATACTTAAACATTTCTACCCTTAATGAAAGGAATTAGAGTAAAACATGTTTAGGCTTTAGAACCACTTTAAACAGGCCAGATCGGACCTTCAATCTGTTGCCCATGGGCACTTTCAAGACGTCCTGCACAACCAACAACCATTGTAAAGTTGGCTATACACTAGAAGAATTTTGTTCAAAAACCTTTGTTTCAGGACCATTCTTTCGATTTTCAAATCATTAGTGAGATCAAAAATCAGTGTGGAAATATTTCCATACTGAGTGTATGTGGTTTTCACTCAGGAAAGTGCGTTAATTCCAAAATCGAATGTTAGAAGCAAACAATTTTTAACAACATTCGAATGTACTGTGAGAATATTTGTATGAACGTTCGTACAAATGCTTGTTTGAAAATCTTCTAGTATATGGTCAGCTTAAGTGGATGAATCAATTGGATAGATTAGAAAAATCTGCCTGATTGCTTTGTTTGCTCTGAAATAAGCTGGTGTTAGACTTTTTGGCGCTGATTTACTAAGAATAAGGTGAAGCAATAGAAGTTAGACACCAAACTTCACCTAATTGAAACCATTAAGACCTTGATGTGGTGAACAGAAAAATGTCTTCACAAAAGGAAAATGTCTATTAGTAAATGTCGAATTGGAATAGTCGGGTTTACAAAATAGGCAATTCTAAACTTGGTCCCTAGAGGGTGTAGGAGCCAGGATTCCATTTCCCATCTTTCCCATTTCTTTCTAGAATCAATTGGCGGGTGTGATTTGCTGTTTGATTTCTTTTAATACTAATTCTATTATTAATTCTCTTTCTTGCTTTGTAGTGTTTTTTTTTTTTTTTTTGCATGTTCTGCAAATAAATGCATTTTTTTAATGTTACAGAGTAATGCATACTATTTTCTAATGTTAAATATATATCTAATTGTCACAGTTTATATCTATATACATTTTTAATGTCAAATTTGAATTTTCTTATAATATTTACTTATAAGTATATATATCTTAATTCTTGACTTGTGGTACTAGTATATATGCTAGATAGCATTACAGTCAGTGTTGCAGTCAGCATTGTGGCTTAGAGGTCAGCACTTCCCCCTAGCAGCCCTAGGGTTGCAAGTTCAAATCCCAACCGTGCCACTAAAGTCAAGGAGTTTGCATGTTCTGTCTGTGTGGGTTTCCTCCCATGCTGGTATTTGTTTTGGCTCCTGTATAAATTGTCCCTAGTAAATGAATGTGAGTTAGGGACTTCACATTCTACGCTCCCTGAAGGCAGGGCCTGATGTGAACGTAAAACATATATGTAAAGTGCTGTGTAAATTAAGCACCTGAACTAATAAAAATGCATTTTTATATATGTGTGTTTTGCAATCTGGTACATTTTAGAAAGTTTCACATAATGTAGACAAAAGAGCTGACATTACAAATAAAAAGTGTGTATGTGGGGGAGGTTGCTCTTCTACCCTCCTTTTCTAGCCTGCACGACTGTTTGCTCAGATAAGAGCGTTAGTGATTTTTTTTTTGTTTCAAATCCATGACAGTTGTATCTCTGTTATATGACACATTCTAATTCATATATAATATCTACTTATAATTCTATATAATTCTTGAATCATGGTACTACTATATATTCCTCAGAGCTTAGTGAATGTGGTGAAATTTCATTTTGCAAAGAACAGCCAATCATATGCAAGTATTTTTTCTTGCACATGATTGGATGATGGAAATTAGCAGAGCTTCACCGCATTCGACAAATTTTGGGGGAAATTCCCTTGCAAAGTCAACAGTCTGTTTGCCTTTAGTAAATCAACCTCATTGTTTGCATCCTACTGCTCCCTGACATCTATGCACTGGCTAGCTTTATTATTATTATTATACAGTATTTACAAAGCGCCAATGGTTCGCTCAGCGCTGTACATTACAGAGGGGGACAGAACATGTGACAGAACAATACCAATACAATGCAAAACATGAGGGGATCGAGGGCCCTGCTCTTTCGAGCTTACAATCTAGGAGGGAGGGGATAGTGGTACAGGAGGAGATAGCTGTGGGGGATGGAGTGGTAGGAAGAATGGAGGAGGTCGGCAGGTTAGCAGGGGGTGGGGTAGGCTTCCCTGAAGAGATGGGTTTTCAGGATGCGCCTAAAGGAGAGGAGAGTAGGTGATAATCTGATGGGTTGGGGCAGGGAGTTCCAGAGGATGGGTGACACCCTGGAGAAGTCCTGGAGGCGGGCATGGGAGGAGGAGACCAGGGAACTAGAGAGAAGGAGGTCTTGTGAGGAGCGGAGTGTGCGTGCTGGGCGGTACTTGGATATTAGGTCAGTGATGTAGTTCGGGGCAGTATGGTTGACAGCTTTGTACGTCAGTGTTAGGATTTTGAATTTGATCCGTTGCGTAATCGGAAGCCAGTGGAGGGATTGGCAGAGGGGGGTGGCGGAGATGGAGCGGTTGGAAAGGTGAATGAGTCTGGCAGCCGTATATTCAGGATCGACTGACTGAAGCGGGGATAGCCAGAGGCGAGGCAGGCCAGTGAGGAGGGAGTTGCAGTAGTCAAGTCGTGATATGATGAGGGAGTGGATGAGCTGTTTAGTGGTTTCTGGGGTTAGGAACGTGCGTATTTTGGCGATGTTGCGGAGGTGGAGTCTGCACGAGTTTGTTAAAGATTGGACTTGGGGCTAGAAGGATAGGTTGGAGTCCAGAATGACACCAAGTACTCTGGCCTGCGGGGCGGGTTTGATGGTGGCGTTGTTGGATGTGACGGAGAAGTCAGTGGCGGGTGGTGTCCGGGCTGGGGGGAAGACAAGAAACTCGGTTTTGGAGAGGTTCAGTTTAAGGAAGTGGAGCGACATCCAGTCTGATATGTCGCTCAGTAGGTGTGTGATTCGGGCGGAGACCGAGGGGGGGAGGTGGGGGGTTGAGAGATAGATTTGTGTGTCGTCAGCATAGAGGTGGTAGTTGAAGCCGTGAGAGTGTATGAGTTGGCCAAGGGAGGAGGTGTAGATGGAGAAGAGAAGGGGCCCGAGGACAGAGCCTTGAGGGACCCCAACAGAGAGGGGGAGTGAGGGGGAGGTGGTAGCATTATAGGTAACGCTGAAAGAGCGTTGTGACAGGTAGGATGAGAGCCAGGAGAGAGCAGAATCTCTGAGCTTTATCATCAATATCAATTTATGATGAGAAACCTACATGATGTAGTAAACAAATTGTGGTCCAGAGACACTGTATTGCCCAAAACACGGTCATTCTCTACACAGGGATGCATTTTACTGATGCTCACTGATGTTTCAAGTCACTGCTATTTAGAAACTGATCAAACTTGGCAGTCACTTTTAGAAACATGTTTTGCACTGTTGGTCCTAATACCGCATATAACCCCATATATGTGCTGATAACTGTATACAATGAATATGATATCTGTAACCAAGTATTCTCATCCCTTCTGCAAGTAGTAGTGAAACTAGAGTTGCTTGAGTATCAGTGCAGCTTACTTTCCTTTTCAAAACACGTAGATTTATGAAAAGATTATTCAAACATAGTGACCTTGTTGACCATGGCAAGCCAGACACAATCATCCAATGCAGGCTTTAAAATGAAACAGTACAGTATTTTATCTATATAGACACACTATATTGCCAAAAGTATTGGGACACCCTGCCAAATCATTGGATTCAGGTGTTCCAATCACCTCCATGGACACAGGTGTATAAAATCAAGCACCTAGGCATGCAGATTGCTTCAACAAATATTTGTGAAAGAATGGGTCACTCTCAGGAGCTCGGTGAATTTAAGCATGGTACAGTGAAAGGTTGCCACCTGTGCAATAAGTCCAACCGTGAAATTTCCTTGCTACTAAATATTCCACGGATAACGGTTAGTGGAATTATAATAAAGTGGAAGCAACTGGGAACAACAGCAACTCAGCCACGAAGTGGTAGGCCACGTAAAATGACAGAGTGGGTCAGCGCATGCTAAAGCGCACAGTGCGCAGAAGTCACAAACTGTCTGTAGAGTCAATAACTAAAGACCTCCAAACTTTGTGGTGTCTTCAGATTAGCACAACAGTGCATAGAGAGCTTCATAGAATGGGTTTCCATGGCCAAGCAGCTGCATCCAAGCCTTACAGTACATCACCAATTGCAACGCAAAGCTTCGGATTCAGTGGTGTAGAGCACGCCACCACTGGACTCTAGAGCAGTGAAGACTTGTTCTCTGGAGTGACAAATCATGCTTCTCTGTCTGGCAATCCAATCGATGTATCTGGCTTTGGCAGTTACCAGGAGAGCGGTACTTGCCTGACTGCATTGTAAAATGTGGTGGAGGGGGCCTTATGGTGTGGGGTTGTTTTTCAGGAGTTGGGCTTGGCCCCTTAGTTCAGTGAAGGGAACTCTTAAGGCATCAGCATGCCAAGACATTTCAGACAATTTCCTGCTCCCAGCTTTGAGGGAATAGTTTGGGGATGGCCCCTTCCTGTTCCAACATGACTGCCCAATAGTGTACAAAGCAAGTTCCATAAAGACATGGATAAGCAAGTTTGGGGTGGAGGAACTTGAATGGCCTGCACAGAGTCCTGAACTTAACCTGATAGAACACCTAAAACCTTGTGGACAGCCTTCCCAAAAGTGTTGAAGCTGTTATAGTTGCAAAGGGTGGGCCAACTCAATATTGAACTCTACGGACCAAGACTGGGATGCCATTAAAGTTCATGTGTGTGTAAAGGTAGGCGTCCCAATACTTTTGGCAATATAATGTATACTGTATATCTACACACGTGCACACACACTAAAACTATAAGGCACTTACCTGACAGACAGTCATTCTCTCCAAAAAGAGAAGAAAATTATCTTTTCTCTCAGAACCTTGGGCAAAAGTCAAGCTTTTAGCTGTTCGCCAAAAATACCTCAGTTCTTTCGTGTTTTCCTGATTTTTCTTAACAAAACAGAAAGCTTTAGTTCCAATATGGCCGGAAGGCAAAGACTTAAAAACTGCACTGGTTCCTGTATAAACAGACTTTTTCACTTCTTTGTAATTTTTTACAAAACCTCCTGATCAGCAGCGTTGAACGATCTTTGCGGTTCTTTGAGAAATCATTTTCTATTTCCTCTTCGTTTTGTTCATGACAGTCTTGAATTTGAAATGGACAGGGTAACTTCTGTCCGTGTATATTGTCTACAGGAAATTCTGGCATTGTCTCTGGGCACAAATTTGATTGGTAATTCACAGGGAGGCTAATGTGTTCATGGTTACCGCCATTTCTATCAGAACTGCAAGCGCTGGGTGGACAACTATTGCAGCAATTTCTCCTCAATGTCTGTAAATGGCTGCTCAAAATACACTGGTTATTTGTGGAACTGGAATATAAACCACTCTTCTGACTGGAATTACTTTTGTGTAATGTTGGAATGTAAGTGGCACCATCTGTGCAGTGATCATTCACTATAAAGTTACCTTTTAATGCCTGCCCTTCCACAGATGATGTATCTGCTTTAAAATTAATTTCTGTCAACACAGCAGGAATCTGGGAGTCTGTACAAACATTGTTCTGTTTAAGAGGATTGTAGGACTTGCAGAACTGATTAAAACCTAGGCTGGACTTGTAGGCTCGCTCAAACATTTTGCTGTTGAAATAATCACCGGCATGGGAGGTACAGAGGTTCCCTTGTCCTTTACTTTCTATTAAAAAAGGCTTGGTCACAGAATTCTGCACTCTATGCCCTTTTAACTTTGTTAAGCCTGGCACAGTCTCTATGTTATGTCTTTTTATAACGTTAGTATCCAAACTATTCTTAGAATTTTCATCTCCAGTTGACTGAGAAGGTGTCACTTTCTCCTCTACTGATGGTAAAACACAGGCTGCAATATCCTCGGAGGTCATACTGACTCTCTAGACTTCAGCTTTCTGCTTCTGCGACCACAAATCAGGTACACAATGTACTTTGTTTTATTGCAAGCTCATATTCTTTCAATAAAAATATCAATATCATGAAAACATTTATTTTGTTTTGCAGCAGATGTGAATTGTTTTTCCCTTGTCTTGAATCATATACTCTTTGTCACAAATCATGCATCTTTAAGGATAGTTCCATCCAGCTGTTTACTCCAGAGATGCATGAACACAGCTTGGTGGATTCATTTCTGATAGCAGACACGTAAAATCCAGTTTCTTTCCAGGAGTGTCTAGGGCTGCAAAATGGTCCACAATACAACATTTCTGCAAATACAAAGAAAAAATTAGTAAAATATTATATTTAAAAAAAAATGTTGCCTAGTTTACTACTATAAGTACTGTATTTAACAGGGATCAACGCAAAGATAAATAATCAGCATCAAATTATTGTATTAAAATTTGACTTGATTTAACATATTCCAATGCAATAGCACCTGCTTGGGTGCGACTTTTGTTATGTTTTATGTTCTTTGAAAGTTTCATCAAAATACTAAGAAAAATGTTAAAAGTACACTGAAAAAAAATCATGTTTATTATTTGTACTGTAATAACCTAAGCTGAAAACAGCTACCTGATTAGCACATTCTACAGTATTAAAGAAACCCTAATGCTTAACCACTTCCTGTCCAGACACTTTTACCCCCTTCCTGTCCAGGGCAATTTTCAGCTTTCAGTGCTATCACACTTTGAATGACAATTGCGTGGTCATGCAACACTGTACCCATATTAATTTTTTACCATTTTTTTGAGACAGATAAAGCTTTATTTTAGTGGTATTTATTCACCGCTGGGATTTTAATTTTTTTTTTGCTATGTAAATGAAAATGTCCCAAAATTTTGAAAAAAGTGTTTTTCTTATAAAACGTTGCAAATAATATTTCTTCATAAATCTTGGCCAACATATATTCCGTTATCTTTTTAGTAAAAAAAATAAATAAGCCAAATTAGTTTATATCCAAACATTATAATTTTAAAACTTTTTTTACATTTTTAATTTTTTTTATATTATTTATGTTTTTGGTTTTTTTTTTCTTACGTACTGTCACCCTAGCAGTATAGTGTCACCATGGTGACACTGTACTACTTGTGGGGGGTGATGAAGATTTTTTTTTTTTTTTTTTTTTACAGTGATTGCTTTTACACCCATATAGGATGTAAAAGCAATCATTTCTCTTTCTCTCTGTCTGCATTCTTGCAGCCATTGAGAACTACCGAGTGAGCTGTGATTGGTCACAGCTTGTTACATGGTACAAGGCTGTTGTGAATAGCCTTGTACCATGTGACCTCTGTGATCATTCACAGATTTCACACGTAGTAAGCAATGATGTCACAAGTGACATCTTGCTTACTACTTTGCATGTGATCACTGATTGTCCAATCAGTGATCACATGATCGGGATCCAGTCCGACGATCGGTGTTTCACTGTGTCCGGAGGACGCAGCGGGCACCGGAACGCGGTGCTGCGTGCTTCCAGGGAGCGCACACAGCTAGAAATGGCGGGTGCCGTTTATGAACGGCAACCCGCCCCTGGAGTGCCACCGTCCTGCCGTTTATAAACAGCAGGAGGACGGCAAGTGGTTAAAGTGTCACTAAAAGCAATTTTAAAAACATTTTTTATAAAAAAGGAAGGTTTATAACCACTGCCAGGTTTTTTTTGCCTTCTGCGTCCCATTGGTGAGATTTCCCTTCACTTCCTGTCCCATAGCCAAAACAGGGAGAGAAAATCCCTCCAAAGTGATGAAATCTCAGGGTGTCTGCAAAACTAGTGTCGCAAATGGAAGATTTCCCCTGTCTTACTGTACTGATGTCAATCCAAAATTTGGGATTTTCTTTTACTCTCACTTTTAGAGATAATGGTAAATAGGACAAATAAAGCTGGAACAGACAGCAATAAAAAACTGACAGGTGTTCCAATCCCTCCCCACTCTGTTCAAAACTAAAAATAAAAGGTTTTGACTTTTGTTACAATTAAAGCATATGGAAAGGCAAAACTTGTAGGCAGGTGCCTACATTAGATTTGTTTTAAGACTGTTAATTCATATTACTGTGATGACACCTTTAAATATCTGGGTTGGCATACAGGGTTATTGTAAGAGCATGACAGGTCTTCCCTTGTATGTGTGAGTCACTTCCTTTCTAAAGGCTATGTATGCATGGAATGATGGCCTCCTGGAGCAGTCCGGAGTGGGAACTGTGCAGTGAGGATTTGTGTACCATGTAATCTGCTGTTCTGGCAGCATACCCCTTAAATGGGACTGTTTGTAAGGGAATCCATGTGAATGGACTCTGTTGTATGGACTTCCTTACTTTAAGGTATGTGCAGAACCACTAGGGACAGACAACCAAATCAAGCACGGCCTATTGTTATCTATTGTACAGTACAGTCTTCATATGGAAGAGCTCTTCTGAAAAGAAGGTAAACTGTAGTGATGTACTACCTCTAATATATTCGGCAACCTATTTCAGGTTGTTATTTAAATTAGAAGTTGTCTTGTTTAACTCTTCTGAGGCGAAGAATTCAAATGTCTTACACTTGTGTGTAGTCAGGGTGTATCTGATGAACAGGAGGGGAACATGGGGTGAAGAGTGAGTGGGCAGTTTGGTACTTTATGTTAGATAATGATCACTTGCGCTTAGGACACACCAATATTAAACACTCAATATTAAACAAAAACTGGGCTGCTGCTCCCATAAAGGTACAACCTTAACAACAACGCTTGTCGTTCCCAGTGATCAATATGTAGAGCCGATAGATATATAAGATGTAAGGAATGGAGAGAGGCATCCAAAATAGTGCATTTCTGTTTATTAGTAAAAGCAGACACACTGGTATTGCACTCACATGTTTCGAGATACAATAGGCATGAATCTCCAAGTGTACAATAGTAGGTTGCTAGTATTCCACAAAGCTCATAAGTTTAGTATCCCCACGTTCGTCGTGCCTGATGCATTTCACCCCTCCTACTGGGCATCCTCAGAGGCATCATGTCTGCTTTTACTAATAAACGGAATTACACTATCTTGGATGCCTCTCTCAATTCCTTACATGTATATACAGTCAGGTCCATAAATTTTGGGACATTGACACAATTCTAACATTTTTGGCTCTATACACCACCACAAGGGATTTGAAATAAAACAAGATGTGCTTTAACTGCAGACTGTCAGCTTTAATTTGAGGGTATTTACATCCAAATCAGGTGAACGGTGTAGGAATTACAACAGTTTGCATATGTGCCTCCCAC